TGGAGGCGTCGGCGCTCGTCGTCGGCCCTCCAGCTACTGGCGTCCCCATTGGTGTCGCGGTCCCCGTCGCCGGCCTGGCGAGACGTGTCGGAGAAGGAGGTGTCCTCCGGCGGCCGCCGGTGAGATGGTGACGGTGGAGTTGTCGTCGACGGAGGACGACAGCGACAGCGGAGAGACAGTGACCCCGTGGTCTCCTCAGACGAGGGAGACACCCGGTGGGCAAACCAGGCCCGGAGGGGGTACCGTCGGGTGAGGCATGCTGTGGACGAGAAGGGACGGATCCCGTTTGGGACGGCGGAATCGTCTAAGCCCAGAGGAGGAGAGGAGATCGAGGCGCGCCGCCGGGCCACGATCGGCAAGATGGTGGAGCAGCGGATGGTGCGTGGCTGCAGTGATGGCGTGGAGGCGTAGGCGTAGGCTTCAACAAGCGGAGGATGAGAGCCCGCGCTATGGACGCCGGCACCTCCGTTGGCAGCGCCGTCGCAGCCACCGTTGCCACCCACGTCGCCGCCGAGGACACCGCCGCCGAGGGCGCCGTCACAGCTGCCGTTGCCACCCACGTCGCCGCCGAGTCACCGTCACCACCGCCGCCTAGGGACGCGGAAGCCACCAGCGAGGTCGCCACACCGCCGCCGCCGAAGGGGAGATGGGCAGGGTCACCGGAGCAGACGGTGCCGCCACCGCGTCCGCCAAGGCTGCAGAGGCAGACGTCGTGCCCGGTGGCAGAACCGCCCAAACGGCCCACACTGATGCGCGGGTTCTCCCAGGAGGCCGCCTGGGTGGAGGTGGCCGGACGCGGTGCGCGTGGAGGCGGAGCGACAGCGTCGACGAGGACGGACCCAGCGATGGGCCAGGCTGATGGGGGTGGATGGAGCCCGCTACCGGGTCAAGCCACACACACAAAAGCACTGATAATCGCAGCAGCAAGGACTGCAGCAGCAACAACAGCAGCAGCCGCAGCAGCAGCGCAAGCGCAAGGTCGGCGCGGAAGGACGCGACCAGCGGGAACAGCCAGGGGCGAAGTGGAGGCGTCGGCGCTCGTCGTCGGCCCTCCAGCTACTGGCGTCCCCGTTGGTGTCGCGGTCCCCGTCGCCGGCCTGGCGAGACGTGTCGGAGAAGGAGGTGTCCTCCGACGGCCCCGCCGGTGAGATGGTGACGGTGGAGTTGTCGTCGACGGAGGACGACAGCGACAGCGGAGAGACGGTGACCCCCGTGGTCTCCTCAGACGAGGAGACACCCGGTGGGCAAACCAGGCCCGGAGGGGGTACCGTCGGGTGAGGCATGCTGTAGACGAGGAGGGACGTATCCCGTTTGGGACGGCGGCATCGTCGGAAAGCCCAGAGGAGGAGAGGGAGATCGAGGCGCGCCGCCGGGCCACGATCGGCAAGATGGTGGAGCAGCGCATGGAGTGCGTGGCTGCAGTGATGGCGTGGAGGTGTAGGCTTCAACAAGCGGAGGATGAGGAGGCCGCGCTATGGACGCCGGCACCTCCGTTGGCAGCGCCGTCGCAGCCACCGTTGCCACCCACGTCGCCGCCACCACCACCGCCGCCGAGGGCGCCGTCGCAGCCGCCGTTGCCACCCACGTCGCCGCCGAGGTCGCCGTCACCACCACCGCCGCCTAGGACGCGGAAGCCACCAGCGAGGTCGCCCACACCGCCGCCGCCGAAGGGGAGATGGCAGGGTCACCGGAGCAGACGGTGCCGCCACCGCGTCCGCCAAGGCTGCAGAGGCAGACGTCGTGCCCGGTGGCAGAACCGCCCAAACGGCCCACACTGATGCGCGGGTTCTCCCAGGAGGCCGCCTGGGTGGAGGTGGCCGGACGCGGTGCGCGTGGAGGCGGAGCGACAGCGTCGACGAGGACGGACCCAGCGATGGGCCAGGCTGATGGGGGTGGATGGAGCCCGCTACCGGGTCAAGCCACACACACAAAAGCACTGATAATCGCAGCAGCAAGGACTGCAGCAGCAACAACAGCAGCCGCAGCAGCAGCGCAAGCGCAAGGTCGGCGCGGAAGGACGCGACCAGCGGCAACAGCCAGGGGCGAAGTCGAGGCGTCGGCGCTCGTCGTCGGCCCTCCAGCTACTGGCGTCCCCGTTGGTGTCGCGGTCCCCGTCGCCGGCCTGGCGAGACGTGTCGGAGAAGGAGGTGTCCTCCGACGGCCCCGCCGGTGAGATGGTGACGGTGGAGTTGTCGTCGACGGAGGACGACAGCGACAGCGGAGAGACGGTGACCCCCGTGGTCTCCTCAGACGAGGGAGACACCCGGTGGGCAAACCAGGCCCGGAGGGGGTACCGTCGGGTGAGGCATGCTGTAGACGAGGAGGGACGTATCCCGTTTGGGACGGCGGCATCGTCGGAAAGCCCAGAGGAGGAGAGGAGATCGAGGCGCGCCGCCGGGCCACGATCGGCAAGATGGTGGAGCAGCGGATGGAGTGGGTGGCTGCAGTGATGGCGTGGAGGCGTAGGCGTAGGCTTCAACAAGCGGAGGATGAGGAGCCCGCGCTATGGACGCCGGCACCTCCGTTGGCAGCGCCGTCGCAGCCACCGTTGCCACCCACGTCGCCGCCGACGACCACCGCCGCCGAGGGCGCCGTCGCAGCCGCCGTTGCCACCCACGTGCCGCCGGGTCGCCGTCACCACCACCGCCGCCTAGGACGCGGAAGCCACCAGGAGGTCGCCCACACCGCCGCCGCCGAAGGGGAGATGGGCAGGGTCACCGGAGCAGACGGTGCCGCCACCGCGTCCGCCAAGGCTGCAGAGGCAGACGTCGTGCCCGGTGGCAGAACCGCCCAAACGGCCCACACTGATGCGCGGGTTCTCCCAGGAGGCCGCCTGGGTGGAGGTGGCCGGACGCGGTGCGCGTGGAGGCGGAGCGACAGCGTCGACGAGGACGGACCCAGCGATGGGCCAGGCTGATGGGGGTGGATGGAGCCCGCTACCGGGTCAAGCCACACACACAAAAAGCACTGATAATCGCAGCAGCAAGGACTGCAGCAGCAACAACAGCAGCAGCGCAAGCGCAAGGTCGGCGCGGAAGGACGCGACCAGCGGCAACAGCCAGGGGGCGAAG